CTTAAAAGCACTCCCCTCATAGTGCTCTCTATAAAAGGTTTTATATTCAGTGGACTGTTGCACAACTACTCTTAAAGAAGGGACTAAAGAGGAGAATCTAATAATGACAAGCAAAGGTTGGTTGGATAATAATTTGCAGGCCTGCTGTGTTTCATGATTGTTGAACTACAACTGCCTTAATCCCCAGTAAAATGAGACACTTGTTTTTTGCTTATCATGATATCTAAAAATTGAACAGAAATTAAATCCGCGTTTAAAGGGGGTTTAATGAGCCTAATTGCAGTATATCTGGTTGTGAGAATAGAAGAAATAAATCTTGGAAATTATGATATAGATGAAATCCAAATACTGAGGCTGAAATTGAAAGGGAGAATGTTAATATGTGTTAACATTTATGCCCCACCCAGACCACAGGCTAAATGGGATACACTGGAACAGTCTTTAGTTGATATGTTACAGCATTCCACAATGGTAGATTGAATTGTTTGTGGGCATTTTAACGCTAGAATTGGCCCAGGTTTGGAAATATTGAACTTAAAAGATAAAGGCCTATTTGAAATGGAGGCCATCTTCCCCCTGGGCCCTATGTCATATGATATCATATGTCATATGATAAGACTCAGAATAAGCGTGGTTTAGAACTACTCAAACTCATGTATAAATTACAAACAGTCAGTTTACATGGATCACAATGGGATCAGTCCAGGGGCTCATATACATCAGTCAATCATAGAGGGGGAGCTGTTGTTGATTATCTGTTTATATCACCCTCATTGATCCCATTAGTACAGTGTTTTAATATTATAGTTAGACCTGAGAGGGATCATTTACCAATTGGCCTGGATTTAATGTGGGTTTGTGGAAATAATGTACCACAAGAGAACCATAATATAGGCAGTTCTATACAAAATCAGAAACAATTGAAGTGGACACTCCCCTTGGCCGAAGTTCTAAGATGAATATTATACAGCCCAACAATGTTACAACAGAGGCTGACGCTTATTCAAAATACCAGAAATGCAAATAGCATAGATGAGGAGGTGGCTGGCAACCTTAAACCACTGGTGTGTAAAACATGGCAAGGGAAAATGAATAAAACCAGATTTCGTGGTTTATTCATGAATGTAGATGTGAAAGAAAGGAATTAGCCAGACTTATCAGACAAATTAAGAAGTAAATCATTCGATAGGTTAGAGGCAGTGAGGGATAAACGGCGAAAATATCAAGCATTGATTAGGAGGAGTAAACAAGATGATTATAAAACACGGTGGCAAGAACTAAGACTATTATGTATGCAAAATAACGATACGAAATTCTGGGAACTAGTTTCCCAAGGCCACAGAGACATAAAA